TGAACACAGATAAGAAAGCTTTCAAGAAAACAGTGTTTTTTCCAATAATGTTCTCTGGAGGGAAAGCACCTTTGCCCGTGAAGTCCCGCGCTGCATGAGGACCTCGGCGGGGCCACATCCTAACAGAAAGGACCCTTCTCTGCCTAGTGTTCTCCGCTTCTTTTACTCGCTGGGCAGATTCTACTCCAGACTCGGCATTATCCCAAAATAAGAAGCCAACATGGCGAACGCGAATTCAAAAAGATCAATAAAGTGTGGAATGACAGAGTTGTAGTTAAAAACAGAGCCCGATTCCATGCCAGTGACAGGGACTCGCCACCTAATGTGAAGCCAAGTGGGTTTCCTACATCGAGCTTCCTCCTTCTATCTTTAGTGCTTTTTCCTCACCTTCCACTCCATTCTCCGCCCCAGTCTACCCACCTTCCCAGTTATATTTAGTATTGCAGTCTGTGGGTTTTCTAAAATAATTCCCTCGTGTGTTTCTGAGTCTCACAGAAGGGAAACTAGTTCATGTCATATTTTTACATATATATTTAGCTTTCTATTTCAGAAGAAATAAATAGGAAAAAGAATTCTGTTTCAGTGATGGGCGGGGTGAATCCCAAGAAACTTGGAGCCTGGTTTGCAAGGGTGGGAGCTGGGAGCTGGGTACTGGGGAGGTTTCCTGGAGGAAAGGGTCTGAGTGGAAGCCAGACCCCTGGGGTGGCGCGCGGTGGCTGGGGCCTGTGAGAGGTTCGCCTGGCGGTCTGTCGGAAGTGACAGTGTGTGGAAGGAAGGGACACAAATCAGCTTCTTCCAAGGTAGAGGCAGTGGAGCAACTCAGGTCTCAGTAATGAGGGAGTGACTGTGCTACTGTGTGAACCATGCTGGTTCAGGGTTGTACGTCGTTGTGGCTGTAAAAGCCAGACAAATGGATGAAAGTCCAAGAGCTGGAGGAAACCCAGGAGGGTGAGGGGTTCTGGGAAGCATTTGTTACTTTCTGTGGTGAAGTCACACGGCCTGAGGCTTGGGCAGGGGGGAACAGCTGGCGGGAATAGGCAGATGGTGGAGAAAACTGAACTCGATGTGTCGAGGGAAGGAGCTTCCCAAGGTTTGCAGGCTGCTCTGTGCATGTGTCTGTTCAGGGACCTCGGCCTGATCCCCATGGGCATTTAAACCCAGCACCCCTCTCCCCTTTTGCCAGTTGGCCACTGGCTAGTATGGCTCAATTGGTTGGAGCATCATCCTATAAATCAAAAGTCTGCAGGTTCAATTCCTGGTTGTGACACACGCCTCGGTCTCAAGTTCGGTCCATGGTTGGGGCATATAGGAGAGGCAACCGATGCCTGTTTTTCTCTCATATCGATGTTTGTCTCCCTCTCTGTCCTCCTCCCTTCCTCTCTCTCTAAAATCAGCAAGTATGTTTTGGGGTAAGGATCAAATATATATACATAGATATTTTTTAAACTATCTTTTACTAAAGGAAAATAATATGCTCTCATAACTTCAAGGGGTTCAAAAGACTGTGTCTCCGACAGTACCTTGCACAAAGACTTGAACATTGGAAGCACTCACTGAATTATTGGTAGGGAATGCCCAGGTCTCAGTTTGGTAGGCCACAGGGATGGTTACTCTAAAACAAAACAAAAAATTTTGACCCCTGAGTAAGGAATAACCCTGCCTAGAAGGACTCACAACTTGATTTAGTGAAGGAGGAAGAAATTTGCTTCTACCCTTCCAGGTTCCACCTACCAGCTGGTCCCGTAATTCAATCTATGTGAGACAGACTAACAAGAGAAAATGGCCAACTTTAATTACATGCCTACTTACAGGAACCTTATATACAGGAGGGAGTCCGAGACTCCACGTACCTGAGAAGTTCAGAAACAGGTAAAATGAGGCCCAGGATATAACATTCTGAGCTGAAGATGAGGTTGGGCACCTTGGGGCTTGAGACAGGGGAAGGTCACTTACAGGAGGATAAGAAGAGTCAAGGTTTAGTGATTAGAAGTTTCCCCTGCCCTATTGACAGGTCATAAGTTATTTCTGGTAATAACTCATTTAACTTAATTTCTCTAAGGGGCAGATAAGATTTTCTTGCAAACCCGCAGGATCTCGATTGCCTTCAGCTCAGACATAATCCGTGTTGAAGCGGCTGGTCTTAGGGAGGCTTTTTCTTGAACTCCTTCAGGTTCCTCATTTATTATCCAGGGCTTGATCTTTCTAATACTCGGAATGTGTACAAATCGGGACCACCTTTCGGCACTGCTCAGACGAGGGACATTCAGGCAACCCCAGCTGTGAACACAGCTCAGAAGGGATCATTTCTAATTGCAGCTGTGAAGAGAAATTGAATGAAGTATTGATGCCCCGACCCTGTGTTTCCTCCATGAACTCCCTGGAGGAAGAGGGGTGATGACCCACGTCAGCCGGGCTCACAGAGCAGCCAGGAGGCAGGCGAGGCGTGTCTCTCTCACGTGTTGTGATCAAATGACAGATAATCCGTGTGGCATCCATCTTGGCTGGTGGGCCCAACCTAGGCTGTCAAGAAGGGAGATTTATCAGGTTCCTAACGGCCTGAAATGAGGAGAGAGACACAGTGCACCCTCTAGGCACTGAGGGCAGGCCTTGGCTGACCGCCTTGGGCTCCTTTTCCAGAAGAATGGGAGCCAGGACGGGAGATCACATGAAGGGGGCATCGGACCCGAGCATTAGATGTTAGAGTGAGTTGACTCTGTCCCTGGGGCAGAGCTAACGGACAAAACTAGACCACATCTTGGGAATCCTGGCATGAAATTAAGTTCTAGGGCTGTAGCTGTAGCTCACCACCTGCCAATGTCCACTAATGCCCTTGTCATACAAAGTGGAGGTGCTGGTGCCATGGAGGAGGGAGGAGAGCTTCCTTTGTGGGTACCCTGACATTGCAGGGGCTGCCCCAGCTGTCTTGACTCCCTTGTTATTCAAAACGGCCCCTAGGCCTACAGCATGGCTCTCACTGGGAGCTTGTTACAAATGCTGAATCTCAGACTGGGTTGAATTGCTGTGATGAGGGCGGATGTGCTGGCCTCGTTGCTGATCTTAGGAAGAAAGCATTTAGTCTTTCACTGCAAAGTATATTTGCTTTAGGTTTTTATGAGTGGAGTTTTTTTATTGTATTTTCTCTCCGTTATCATTTAGTTCCCTTCTACCCCCTCCCCCCAATAGTCACCACACTGTTGCTCATGTCCATGAGTCTTGTTCCTTTTTGCTCCACCACCACCTCTTACTCTCTTCCTTAGCTGTCATCCTGCTCTCCATCTGTGAGTCTGTCCCCGTGCTCCTCGTTAGTTCAGTGCGTTCATTAGATTCCACGTATGAGTGAGATCATATGGTGTTTGTCTTTCTCAGACCGGCTTATTTCACTTAGCATAATGTTCTCCGGGTCCATCCACACTGTCACAAAAGGTGCAACTTTCTCCTTTTGTACAGCGGAGTTGTATTCCATTGTGTAACTATCCCACAGTTGGTGTCCATCAGTAGATGAGTGTTTGTTCTTCATCACACCGAGGAAGTTCCTTTCTGTCCCTGGTTTCCTGAGTTTTTACTGTGGAGAAGGAAAAACTGTCCTCTCCTCTTCTAGGCCCTGAGCCCCAGATTCAACAAGGACAGAGCTCCTTTGTTTGGGACCTTGAACTATGTATCTCTCCATCTGGCTGTTGATTCTTATCCTTGAAATCCTTTGTACTAAGTCGGTAGCCTGGTGAATCAATGGGACCCTCGAGTTCTGTGAGCCACACTAGCAAATTAATTGAACTGAAGGGGGAGGTTTTCAGAACCATAAAACTCTACAACCCAAAGAGGGAATCTTAACATAAACTGTGGCCTATAAATAACAATGTGTCAGCACAAACCTGGGCAGTGTAACAAATGCACCACAGTGATGCAAGATGATAATAGTAACAGGGGCAGGGGTCCGTGTGTGTGTGTGTGTGTGTGTGTGTGTGTGTAGGGGGTTACAAAGGTAAAGGACTAAGTATACAGAACTCCATATACTATCCGCTGAAATACTTGATAAATCTAAAACTGTGCTAAGAAAATCAAGTGTATCCATTATTTGAGAATCTCTAAGAGATTTCATGTGAAAAGAAGAAAAAAAGACAAGTGGGATGAGAACTTTTTTAAGTTCTAAGAGACCAAGCAAGGCCACCCTGGGATGTTGCCTGTGCCCTGCCCAGCCAGCCTTACCTCCCAAGCCCAGGTCCACCTACAGAACCCCTCACCTGTAAGGCAGGTCCGTGCGGCGTCCGTGCAGCAGTACCGGCCGGGTCCTGCTGGAGATGTGCAGTGAACTCCCTTAGAAGGAACAGAACCAAAATGTTCCTCCTTTTTCCAGGTTGCTGAATTTTCTCATGAAAAGGAAACTGGGCGTGGCTGGCCGGTTTGAAAAAGCAACGTCACAGGTTCCTTCCTCAGGAATAAAGCCCTTTCTTCCCCCTCCTCTGGCTAAATGAACTTTGCTCAACGAACTGTAATGATGGTTTTGGGATCTGATTGTTAATTCTCCCTAATTATTCAGAAGTCTCTTTAAATTTGTTTCGGGCTTTTTCTCTCTTCTGAGTAACTAGATGAGGCAATCAGCTCACCTTTCATAGTATAAGAAGGCTTTTTCTTCTTTTAAAAAAAATTATTCCCGCACTTTAGAATTTCCGCCAGTGATCGTAGCAGTAAATTTCAGTCAGTTGCTCTAATGGCTTTTAGCGAGGAGCCTGTGTTAAATCCCTGTTACTACAGTGGCTCATCCACCGAGAACCTTTAAAACTGGATTAATGCCCTTGAGTTTGAAATCCTTTTGCTTTGGGGGTTGAAATCTGGCTCCGTAACCTTTTGAGTCCCCCTCTTGCACTTTGAAAGTTGGCACTTCCTATTTAAACGACATGAAAGACGAAAAATAAGCCTTTTGGAGCTGAATGTATTGATTTCAATGATCACCTTTAATTCACACCTTTCCTCTGTGTAAAGTGTGGTTTTCTTCTCTTAATTAGAAAGAGCCAGAGATTATCTGCACAAAACCGGGAGGTTTATCGTGATCGGTGGGATCATCTCTCCGGTCCATGACTCCTACGGAAAACAGGTGGGTGCCCCTCTGCCCCTTCCTGCCCTCACCTTCCCTTCCTGCCCCAGTGGCTCCGCGGGCGCCAAACTGCCCCGCTGCCATTTCTGCTCTGATTCCTGGAAAAGCAAAGTGCCTGGTCGCAGGCGTCCTGCTTCCCACCGTGGGCCACAGTCAGCCCTGAGCGACGGGTGCTGGGCAACAGCTGAGAGGAGCAGCTGCCCGCGACCAGGCAGCCGCTCCTGGGCCAGGCTCGGTCCAGGCTCATTGAAAGAGTAGCCGGCTCCCCGCCTCTGAGGGCCAGGCGTGCTCGGCATGGATGCCAAGTTAGTGGCTGGTTATGGGCTAGGCAAGTCTTTCCTGGGGTTTCAGGGAGAAAAAGAAAGGCGTACACATCTTCTAATCTGATTTAAAAACGATGTCCCTGCCCCTCCCTCCCTGCCACATGTCTTAGAAAATCTAGAAGTCTGCCCAGGAAGTCATTCTGTCATTCTCCCTCCTCCCCCACGCAACTTGGTGGGCGCCTGGGGTGGCCGCCTCAGTAAGCACCAGGAGATGAGGCAGCGTCTGCCAAGTTGAGTCTCAGCTCTGTGCTGGGCACACTGGCTGCTCCGTTGGTGTGGGGGGCGCGCCTAGGGGTCCTGATGTGGGTGGTCTACTCCACCCACCCTTCATTCTTCTGTCCTCTCTGACCCTCCATGCCTGTCTGTATGGCTGGTGGGCGTGGAAAGGAGTCACACCCTCATTCCCCGACACCACGGAAAAATGGCCGCACTTTTGTCAAGGGTTGGCTTGGGGGGGCCGTGGGGAGCAGATGTACCTCCCCACGATCGCTGTGTTGCTTCCCAGGGCCTCGTGTCGAGCCGGCATCGTCTCGTCATGTGTCAGCTGGCCGTCCAGAATTCCGATTGGATCAGGTAGGGCTTGTCTGATGATGTCAGAGGCGGGCGGCCCTGGGACCCACCTGGGGGGGGACAGTTGGAGAAGGAAGGTGGGTCCTGGCACGGGTGGGAGGCCACGGGAGATAGTCACCCTGTTAAAAATGAAAACTCAGTTGAGGAGACTTAAAGATCAAACTGGCTTCGTTCAAAGATCCATGCATCAGGCAGCCCCCCGTTTAGCAGGTAGAAAGGACCTCCAAGGAGCTGTACAAGGTGGAAAACTTTTGTACAGGAGGAGGCTGTGGGGTGAAGTGCCTCTCGGCTGTGCTGACCAGACCGACTGGCTGAGATGGCATCCCTGGGAAAGGTTGCCAGTGCTGTTGAGTTAGGTGCTAAGTCTCCGGTTGGTGACGTGAGCTTAGCCCAAGCGACTCCATTTGGGGCCTGCTGCCCCCATTTTTAACAGCCCCATGCGAGCAACGCCCTTCAGGGGTGGCCCAACCGATTAACTCGATTTTGTAACCAAGCGTGGGGCCCATGAAACTGAAGAAGGGGTTTTTCTTATTTCATCTTCTCTGACACCATTGGATCCAGGAATATTCTTGGATCTTTCAAAAACATCCTAGGGGTTCGGGCGAGGCACATCTAGGAAATCCAGAAGGTTTCCCTGCTTCCCTGTGCACTCAGGTCCGTGAACACTCACTCCCTTCCCGGGCAAGGTGCCTGGCCCAGGCTGTTTCCTGTTCCCTGACTCGAGTCCCTGGGGCCCCGCACTGACTGGGGGACAGCGGCGTGGGGGCCGGCGGACGCTGACTTTCCCAGGGATGGTCCGCTACCTCGGCAGACACTGTTATCCGCTGAGCCTGCAGTGTCATTAAAGCAACCTCCCGCTAATTGTGCTAATTACACCCCCCAACATTCCTACAGTTATAATTTGCATGAGTAGATGCCATTTGTTAAAAATAATGGCACACCACTTGTACTGTAATCCCGCCCCCCTCTCACCCCGTGGGAAAATAAGCAGCACCTAGAGGTTCTCATGAAGGCAGGAAATGGAAAGGAAACTGACCTCGGAGGTGGTAGTGGAAAAGGTGGGGTGGGTGCAAACGAAAGCCCCGGATGGAGGGGACAATGATAATTAAATACTGATCCTTGCTGGTTGTGCACAGAGACTCGTGTGGGAGGCACATGCCCTCAGGAGACCTTTTCCTCTCCCCGAGACATAGATTAGGTAGAGAGAGACCTGCCTTTTTGCCCATGAGACCCAGAGAATTCAAGAGGCTGGGGAGTGAACAGCACACCTGTGGCTGAGTCAGGAACAGAATTGAAGCCTCTTAACATTGTAACTCCTGATCCGCCGGGGAAAGCGGGGTCCAAGGGGGGAAATACTGGGCAGGAGGCTGTTAACTGCTTGGATGTGATTAGAAGATTCTAAACTGATTCCCTCATTCGCTCAACAAATATTGATCGAGCACTTCCTGCCTGCCCTGTACTGTGCTGGGCACTTGGAAAGGCAGAATTCTGAACTGAGATCACGAGGGAGGCTCAGAGCTAGCTTTAGAGGTGGAGGCTGGGCATGGCGGGGCCCCTGGCCATGGGGAGCCTATTTAGCCAGGTCAGGGGTCTGTCCATGGGGGCGGTGGGAGCTGGGAAGCGACCTGGGGGGAGCCAGGCTCAGGGCAGACCGACTGGCTAAGAGTTTTCAGTTGGTGAGATCCCCTGTCTGAGGACCTTGGGTGTGTGTGCACAGTGGGAGGTGGGTGAGGAATGCTTGGCTGCTAAGAAAATGTTGCCAAATGTCCCAATTTAGCAGCTCATTAAGTTTGTAATTAAGGCCGAGCGCTGCATCAGTCTGGGCTGGAGCCCTGCTCGCTCTCACTCTGGTGTGCAGGAGGGATTGGTGACCTGTGGGTGTGTGCACCTGCCAATCTGACCGCCAGCCTGCGCAGGGAGGCGCTCCGGGCAGATTCCCAGCTCAAGGAATGGCAGCCGCCCCTTGAGGAGGGATTCGCTCCCACGATCCATTAGGTCTCGAGGAGAACTCCCATTTTGCAGATAAGGATAAGAGCAAGACCCAGTACCAAGCCCCTCACATATAACACTCATCGGGCCCCTCTAATCTCCCCACGAGAGTAACTGCTCTGAGCCCCACTTTACAGACAGGAGAGGGAGCCCCGAAGGGTCCCATTGCTTCCCTGGGGCCCTTCCGTGGCCAGTTCTGGGGCTGCAGTTCAACCTGGGCGGACGGCCCTGCCTGGGGTAGCTCAGTGGATTGAGTGCGGACCTATGAACCAAAGAACCGCGGTTTGATTCCCAGGCAGGGCACATGCCTGGGTTGCAGGCCAGTTCCCAGAAGAGGTTATTTGTCTCCTTCTCTCCCTCCCTTCCCCTCTAAAGATAATTAAACACAATCTTTAAAAAAAAAAACCTGGGCAGACATGTCAGCCCCTCTGCACGCCCGCGATGTCCACCTCTCCTTTCCCAGGAGGCTCAGGGAGCTGTGTCAGGCCTGTGTTTTGTCTTATTGGAGATCTAAGTGCACAGCTCGCACAGCTCACCCGGCCTGCTAAGCTCCCTGTGGTCTTTGGAGGGAGCCCATGAGAAATGAGTGAGAGGCTGGAAACCAAGCAAAACCTGTCTGCACCATTGCCAGGGTGGACCCGTGGGAGTGCTACCAGGACACCTGGCAGACGACGTGCAGCGTGCTGGAGCACCACCGGGACCTCATGAAGGTGAGCCAGGCCTCGAGGGAGTGGGCTGGGGGGTGACTGGTGGGCTGGGTCTTCACAGACGTGCAGCCCCCGGGCTCCAGACCCTCCAGGGCATCGAGCACTAGACACGGGAGGATGAGCTAGCAGGCTGTTGATGCATCTGCTCCGTTTTCGCCCCATGGGCTTGAAGAAAACCATGTCCCTTCCCTGTTTTCGAGTCCCCTTGAAAGGACCGATGCAGGGTGGCACCTGACTGCTCCACTCTGCTGGTCAGTGATGAAAGCAACCCCATCTTACTGTCTAAGGGGGGATCCGGCAGGATAGACTAAGCAACACATGGCAACAAGTGTCCTTAAAGTCTCAGGGGCCTAGACTTCCGCCAAGATGGAGGTTTAGCTGGATGTGCCTGCCTCCTCACACAACCAAGTTTAGGGACAACTAAATATTAGCATCACAAAACACAACCAGAACACGGAAAACTGAACTTTTCGGAAGTCCGCTAACAACAAATTCTTCAGCCTGACCGGTAAGGGGCGAAACCGGCGTCGGGTGAGGACTTACAAAGGAGGGCTCGGTCGGACCGGGCGCGGAATCCAGACGCGCGAATCCAGTCGCGCGGGTTCCAAACCCAGGATTGGACCTAGTGAGCCACTGAGCAGCCCACCGGGGGAGCGACACAGTGGGGAGGCGGTGGCAACGAGTTGACTGTGGTTGCCTGGTTGGGCGCGAGTGAGGGAGTGAGCGGTTGGACCGGCCCGGCGGCGGGGGCGGCGGCGCGCCATTTCCCGCTCTGACCACGCCCCCACATACAGCGTCACAACCCAGCGACCTGGGACTCCAAGGCGCCGCTTGTCCCACTTAAAGGGCCAGAACAGACCAAAAATGTCGCAGGCAGAACTCAAAGCCCCAGAGATAAATCTAAATGACGAAGAAATAGCAAAACTCTCAGACGCACAGTTTAAAACACTGGTCATCACCTTCCTCACAGATCTGGTGGATTACAGCCACAAATTAGAGAAACATATGGAGGCTAAATTAAGGGAAATGAATGGAATTCCACAGGAATCCCATAGAGATGAAAAGGAAACTGGGACTCAAATCAATGGAGTGGACCAGGAGAAACCAAATAATGGCCAAACAGAAAAGAGTCAAGGAGCAAGAATTCAAAGAAATGAGGAGAGTCTTAGGAACCTCCAGGACATCTTTAAACGCTCCAATATCCGAATTATAGGGGTACCAGAAGGGGGAAAGACACAACCACCAGTGGAAAAACTATTTGAACAAATAATAAAAGAAAATTTCCCCAATCTGGCAAAGGAAATAGACTTCCAAGAAATCCAAGAAGCCCAGAGAGTACCAAAAAAGTTGGACTCAAGAAGAAACACACCAAGGCATATCATAATTACATTAGCCAAAATTAAAATGAAGGAAAGAATCCTGGAAGCAGCAAGAGCTAAGGGGACAATCACCTACAAAGGAGTCCCCATCAGGCTGTCAGCAGATTTCTCAAAAGAGACCTTACAGGCAAGAAGGGGCTGGAAAGAAATATTCCAAGTCATGAAATCTAAAGACCTACAACCAAGATTGCTCTACCCAGCAAAACTTTCATTTAGAATGGAAGGACAGATAAGGTGCTTCTCAGATAAGACCAAATTCAAGGAGTTCATCATCACCAAGCCCTTATTATATGAAATGTTAAAGGGACTTATCTAAGAAAAAGAAGTTAAAGAAACATGAACAGTGAAAGGACAACAAACTCACAGTTATTAACAACCACACCTAAAACGAAAGCAAACTAAAAGGACAGCTAGAGCAGGAGTGGAAACATAGAAATGAAGATCTCAAGGAGGGGTTAGCAACAGGGGAATGGGAGGAGGAGATGGGGGGAGAAGGTACAGAAAACAGGTAGCATAGACAGTAGATAGAAAATAGATGGGGGGCGAGAATAGTTTGGGAAATATAGAACCTAAAGGACTTGAGACACATGGACATAAACTAAAAGGGGGGTAATGGTGGGGTTGGGGGGGCAGGGTGGAGGGGAATGGAGGGGGGAATAGAACAACTGTAACAGCATAATCAATTCAAAAAAATAAATAAATTTAATTAAAAAAAAAAGTCTCAGGGGCCTCACACAAATGCACTTCTCCCACAACATGTCAGCTGGGGGTCAGCTGGGGGCCTGTGCTCCTGAGAGTCACCCAGGAGCCTCAGGCCTCCTCACGGAAGGGTGGGATCGGGGACCCTGCAGACGTGCCAAGCCCTGGCACGCCAGCCGTGAAGCCCACGCTGGTTTGCTGTCTAAGCACTGGGGCCTCCCCGCCCCTCCCTCTCCTGCTCAGGTGCAGAAGCTTGGGTCTGGGGAGAGGCCAGGCCAGGAGCCCCAGCTGCTGCGGTGACGGCAGAGACTGACCGGCAGGGACCGCAGGTCTTGATGGCCCCCCTGCCGTGGAGCAGGGTGTGGGTTGCCTCCTGTCAACCCTTGCGCTCCCTGTCCTGGCACCAGGCCGGTGTTTTTGGCACCTCCGGGCCTACAGAGTGAGTCAAGGCCATGTTTGCAAAGCCTCTTAGACCGTGAGACCCCGCAGAGCTGAGGAGGGCAGATCGGGGCAGGCGGCCAGCCCTTTCCTTCTTCTCGGGCATAGAACCAAGGATGCACGCTGCAAGAGGAAGGAGCTCCTCGGCCACCAGACCGGTCATTAAGTGGGACTGTGGCGTTTTCCGATCCGGAAGTTACACAATATTAAAAAGGAGGCAGACTGCCCCTCCCACTGCACCAGCCACAGCTGGGCTGAGGAGATGCCGTGGTGCCCGGCCAGCCAGCTCCCACGTGTGCTGGACGCAGCCGTGACTTCCTCCCATCAGGAACCTTTCAGACAGGACAGTCACCCACAGACAAACACCTGTCCTTCCACAGCTCAGGACTCATGTGCTGCTGTCTGCAATGTGGCCTGTGGGACAGGTGTCTTCGGAGCGGCAGCCCAGCCCTGGAGCTTGGGGGACCTCTGGCAATAGGACTCAGTAACCCCAAAAAGGCAGGGGCAGGCGTTGGGATGCCGGCCATCAGGGAAGGGACCTGGAATTAGCCATGGCTCTTGTGAAGCTAAACACACTGAAAACTCATCCTTTGTTTCTGCTGCCCCATGGCCGCTGACCCCCTCACCGTGCACAAGGCGGGCTGCTTCTGGGTCAGCCGTGAGGACTACTGCATTATCTGCCGTCCTCTGCAGCACTAGACAGAAGCAGAGGCCAGATAACAGGGACAGTAGTTCACACACAGAGAATTTCCACCCGGCTCTGGAGTGTGTATTCACACTGGGGAGCAATGCCCAGCCCCTGTCCCCCACCTTCCCCGAAGGCAAGCACGTCCCGCCCTGCCGGGCACCGCTCTCTGACTTGGCCCTGACATTGGCTTCTCTGCCCTGGAGGGGAGGCAGGTGGTGGGAGTGTCTGGTGTTTACGTGACCTTTCCCAAGCTTACACGGCCCTGGTGCATGACTCGACCTCATGTGAACCTCGTGAAGCGGGCGGGGAGTGTAGATACTCGTGTTACCCAGAAGATTACAACATCGGCTACTGGATACCCATTTCCTGCCATGTGCCAGACGCTCTAAAGATACTCTGCATATCCTCACTCGTGCAATACCAGCACAAGCTGGAAATGTTGCCTTTCTGTGCAGGGTTCAACAGGAGTTAACTACCCAAGGTCATGCAGAGCTCACACTTGAAGCGAGGTCCATGCAACACCACATCCTGTGCTTTTGCGATGGAGCTGCCCTGTCTCCTGCCAGCCTGCAGTGCCACACAGCACAGCTGCGCTAGAGCCCACGCCCAGAGCACCCCCCGGGCCCCAGGGCGCCTCCCCACGATAGGCAGCACCTGAGCCTTTGCAGGTGACCAGGAAACACTGTTCCTAAGTCACCTGGCTGATGACCCTGACTCTGCACTTCTCTCTCCCCAGCGGGTGACTGGCTGCATCCTCTCCAATGTCAACACACCCTCCATGACGCCCGTGATCGGACAGCCCCAAAATGACAACCCCCAGCCTATTTACCAGAACAACAATGTGCCCGCCAAGCCCACGGCAGGTAGGGGTGCGCTGGTGTGCAGCGGTGTTCTCCATCCTCAGAATCGCCCGGAGGCCCGGTTAGCATCCGGGTTGCTTGGTGTCACCCCAGAATCGGGTTCAGTAGGGCTGGGAGCGGGAGGAAAGTTTGCATTTTTAATTAGGTGATGCTGATGCTCTGGTCTCTGTACTGACCACCCTTAATATAAATATAGAGAACCAGAAAGAAATGGTCACAATCAGAGAGAAACAAAGAAGCAGATGGAGACAAGGGGGATGGTGTGCAATCTTCATTTGTAGTTAAATGTAAATATAATCGCCTCAACTGGAAATGAAAGGTACAAGAGGGAGCATTTTTTTTCTGCCTCTTCCATGGGAGCTGAGGACATTGTCCAGGGTCAAACAAGGAGGAAGTAGCAAGACCAGGGGTCAATCCCAGGCGGTTTGCATCCAGAATTCCACACTCGTACCCATGTCTCCAGGGACAGGCAGCTGGGGGCCCCCCCACACTCACCGAACACCCAGCCCTGTGTGCCCATAAGGTACTTACACGAGTTCTCATTTAATGCAGTGATTTTGGGAGAGAGATACTATGTTCTCATTTACATGCGATTCAGAGAAGTGATTTGCCTGAGAACACACAGCTCAAATGCAGAAGAACCAGAATCCATATTCAGGACTTTCTAGTTCTAACGCCTTATGTTCTTTCCAATATTTTCTTCCAGGCCAATAGCAAGAGACAGATGCCAGTGTTCCCTTTCAAGCCCAGACACCATAAGCTATTGTGTCATTAGTCTATGACAAAGAGGGAAGAGCCAGAATTTCATAGTTACGTATAGTTCCACGTGGTAGGGGTGCTGGGGGCTGAGAAAGAAATGTCCAGCTTAAAGCCAGTGAGCATATTGAAAACCAGGTACCTGTCTGCCAACATTAGGTGTCTGGTTGCCCTGCAGACCAGCTGCATGGGAAGGAATACCTTAGTCCGGCAGAAATGATCCCATACGAATTCTTTACCACAGGCCCAGCCCCTGTGGATTGGGGAGTTGGTGATGGGTAAATGCTCATGATATTAAGAAATGAGCAAGCAAACAGCCAATATACCCTCAAAACGCACAATACGGTCCACCTCGTGTTACCAGACAAGAGCAGCGTAATACATATTTGGAAAAATAGAAGAAAATAAATAGTATCCCAATACGTCAGCAGTGGTTTTTTCCAGGGGTGGGATAATGGGTGCCTTTTAATTTTCCTCTTCACACATTTTCCTCCTCTGGATTTTCCAATTGTTCTACCGCGTAGTCAATAAACACGACCAGAGAGTAGGTTCCAGTCTGTGGCTCAGAAAGCTTGTGCCGCGGACTGTGACTGAGAAGGAGTTTTTGCTGTCATATTTCTGTTCTTTCTCTCTACCCTCCTTCCACTGCCTGCCACCCCCCGCCCCCTCCGATGTACCCTTGTTGTTCACAGTGGCCCAGGGCTGGGCTGACCGCGTGTAAGTTGTGAGTGGTTCTCTCCCCCTGTCCCTGTGTGTCTTGCTCTCTTCCATAGCCAAGATCTTGGGGAAGGTGGGAGAAAGCCTAAGCCGGATCTGCTGTGTTCGCCCGCCCGTGGAGCGCTTCACCTTTGTGGGTAAGGAGCGCGGACCTTCTTGCCCACCCTGCCTCTCTACTCCCCTCCTCCCTTCCTGTGTTCAGCCAGCACCCCAGCCCCAGCATCCGCTAGTGGACGACCATTTAGAGAGTGATGATTTCTAGGAAACAGAGGCTACTGGGTTGTGCTAGCGGGACCTGTTATGGGGGGCCCAGAGGGCGTGACCCACCTGGCCTGGGCTGCCCAGGAGATCCCCCCATGGTGGGTGACGTGCTCATTCCCCATCCCCCACAGGACGTGGCTACAGGCATAAGAGTGTCCAGGAGGCCCAGGATCTGCCCTCGGGTCCTTCTGGCTCAGGCAATGTCTGCACTCCTGGTGACAAGCTAAGAACACACGAGCTCTCTACTTCATGCCCTCTGGTTTGGAACAGCTCCCCCACGGGCTCCGCATGGCTGAGACTGTCTGAGTCCCCGGGGCTCTTTCTCGGTCCCCAGCTTCAACTCTGCAGAAGAGCTGAAGGTCTAGACCTCTTTTGTCTGCCTCTTTGGGGCTGACTTCTGCCATGTCTGAGATGTCCAATTTCAGTCATCCTGAGAAGGAACTGAGAGGGACAATTGAGGAGGAAGGGAGGCAGGGGACCCAAATGGCCTCTTTGTGCTTTGGGCACACGATGCACCCCCGTGCAGGCCTTGCACACTCATGAGCCCGTGTCACGGGCTCTGGCGTTCACGCCTTCCTCGGGCTCTTGTTGCGTTCTGCCACGCGGAAAATTGCCAGTGCTCACTTTTGCTTGTTCTTGGAACCAGGTAACCCCTAAGAAGAGAGGGTCAGCTCCTTGTGACTCAGACCTGTCTCCCTAGGTTTTGGGGACGTTGCACTTCCCTAAAATACAGAAAGAAACAGAAGGTGCTCAGCATGAGCGTGTGTGTTCGTCACTGCCTCCCTGGTGAGGCTGTCGAATTCTGACAGTCCCAGAAATGTGACGTCTGCCCGGAGCCTATGATGTTCTCTCTACTGAGAGCATCTGCCCAGATGCTGTCTCTATTTTAGGCTGGACTGTGGCAACATCCCTTCACTCTGCACAGGTGCCTCCCGTGCAGGGAGGCCAGCACACCCCCTCCTGCCACCTGCCCCACCTCCTCCAAGAAGCCTGGGTGGGCTGCGTGTCGGGTACCAAGAAGTGGGCGCCCTAATGCTTCTGCGTTTCCCTCCCCTCCTAGATGAGAACGCCAACCTGGGCACGGTGATGCGGTACGAGGAGATCGGTGAGTGGGTACAGGGAAGCGGGGCACTGGGAGCCACCTGCCTCCACCCCCGGGGGGCAAAGTGGGGGAGGGGAGAGGCTTGAAAACCCTGGCTTGTCTTTGCTACTGAGTGTACTCCCAGCAGAGTCCCAAGCTAGGGCCAAAGTCTCAGGGGTCCCCCCCCACCCCGCACAACTCCCGTCTGCACCGGCTCCAGTTCCCAGGAGTTGGCCTGGGTCCCTTGGCACTTTTCCCTCTGGTCAGAGGCCCAAAAAAAAGACATGGAAGTTGAGCCTCAGCGCCAGGCAGAGGGACCCTTTTGCCCACAACACCGCACTGGAGGCGGAAGCCGTCTGGGTGGTGAGGAGCAGAGGGGGACCCAAAAGCCGCCTCCGCGCCCTCCCTGCAGCCTGGGGCTGAGGCTAAGGCATCTACCGTCCGCATGAGAGCCAAGGAGGTTCAAGGCCAGTGCAGGTGGAGGGCAGCTCCATGGAGCTGTCAGATGGGAAGGAGCCGACCACCCGAGGGAGGATGCTGAGTCCTGGCTTACTCTGGGGAAAGAACCAGGAAAGTGAAATCTTTCCAAGGGTTCAGAGTGGCTGAGGGAGACAAGTGGGGAGCACAGATGTCTGAAGCTGGGGAAAGAGCGGAGAGATGCCAGAATGCAGCTGGAGCTGGCACAGGTGCCAGGCGACCAGGAGGGTCAGTGACAACTGAAGGCCTGGACCTCCGGGATGAGGGGCAGCCTAGTATCCAGCAGGCGTGCTCAGTCTTAAGGGACCAGCTGCAGAGTCACTGCACGTCTCCCCCACCCGGACAGAGGCCCCAGCTCCAGTGTGACCCCGGGGTGTGGGGTTTGACCTTGAGCATCAGGTTCTCCCAGGAGGCCCAGCAGAGATGACGTCTTTTCCAGGGGCTTCTCTGGGGGCACTTGACTCAGCTCTTACTGGTTTGCCAGAACCTTTTGTAAGATTTTCAGGAATTTTGTGAGCCGGTGGTTTAATGCAGCCCACACAAAAAAAATCAAATGATATTAAGTAGCAGTTAAATAAATTGTATCGAAAACAAAAGTAATGAATACTCAAAACTCCTCACTTCCTAATTCTTTTACTATATTTTAAACTGTCATTTCCTGGCATGTCACTGTCTGAAGGCCCCAAAAATGGCACCCAGCTTCCCACTTGCTCCCAAAAGCAGGCTGGAGCATTTGGCTCCAGGTGCCACAGCCCCCAAGCACCCAAAAGGCCTGGACGGGCGCCGAAGCCCTGCCTGCCCACTGCCCCGAGCTGCCACACCTGGCCAGGTGGGGAGGCCGTCTTGACTGGCAATGCTCAGTGTGGTATTCCAATGTAGAGTCTGCTCGTTCCGTGTTCCAGGAAGAATTTCCTGTGGCCGAGCTTCAGCGGTGACCTTGTTTCCCTCCCCAGCACTGGGGTCCAAGGGATTAGGCCTTCCCTGCCTGGGGAGTCCCCTTCCTCCTCCCGTGGGGTGCACTGTGTGCCAGCGCTCACGGCAGCCTCGGGAGGGGAAGGGCCATCTGAGCCCTGTGTTGCTTACTCTTCTTTCAGAGAAAGCAAAGCCAGGTGGCCACAGCCACCAGGGTGGGTCCCTGGCCTGGCCCAGGTGGCGGCCGCCTCTGTGTGCAGTAGGAACTGGGAAGGGCCTCAGGGCCTGGGCTTCACATAGCACAGATTCCTGGGCGGGGAGTGTGCCTGGAGAGCGCTGGTCTGGCTGCTGGTCCTGGATCCCCGGCTGGGATGAAATGGGGAAGTGGCTGGGAGCTGCCCTGCCTCCAGACCTGCAGGCTCTGAAGCCCTCTGGCTCACGCATTCCCTTTTTGCAATCCCTTTGCACACTTCACAGGAAGGAAAAAGCTTCCTTGCTCGGTTAACATCTGTGGCTCCACGTTTTTAACCAGTTCACTGCTCCTCCGGGGGCTGCCCCGGACCAAAGGCTGTGGGCTGGAAAGGGCCGCATTAACCTCACACAATAAACTGGGAGAGTCACTGCTGTCCTCTAGTGGCCACACGCAGGCTCCCAAGCTCTGCGAGGGCCTCTGGTCTGAGACAAACGCATCTGCTCTGGTCCTGCAAGAGAAGGTGGAGGCCCCACTCCTTAGCTTTCTGTGCTCTGGCTTAAAAAGAAATACTCAGCATGATACCTGAGTGGAAAAGTGAGTCTCTGGCTGGGGAACAGAGAAGAGATTCATTTCCATGGCTGTAGAGCAAGCACAGTTTCTCACCTGGACTGCTGACGTTTGGGTAATTCTGGGGGGTGGGGCTGCTGCGCTCTGTGGAGAAAGTGGAGCAGCATTGCAGCCCTCCGAGCACGAACCGCCAGTAGTCCACCTCTCTCCCCAGTCTTGACAACCCAAAACGTCTCCAGACGCTGCCACGTTCAGGAGACAAAGTTGCCCCCAGTTGCGAACCGTGGATGTAGAAGAGCTGAGGGCCAGCACATCCTCTGGCCCCGGCCGCCTAACTGAACTTTTAGATGACCAGAGTTACAGAAAACTGACCCGGAATCTGGGTGGCTCCTAGTGGGGGCGGGAGAGCAGCAAGACCTGGGAGTGAAGCTGGTTCCTCTGAGCCATAGGAAGGCGGGTTCCCCTCCGCAGGTGGGCAATTGGGCCAGCAATCCCATGGCCCAACACGGAGGGAGGGAGGCATCGCTGGCCAGGGCAGCGCTTCCCCGGAGCCCTGTGCCACGAGAGCTAAGGCCGTGACAGAGAGCCCGGCCAGTCCAGACGGCCCAGAGGCACACAGACAGCCTGCCTGCGGGGCCTCGGTGGTCAGCCTGTCTGTGCTTCGCTTACTCATACTTCCTGAGCGCCTGCCGTGTGCAGTCACTCTGTCTGGCCCTGGGGACATAAAGGTAAATTCAGGTCCCAGCGCACAGACAGCACGAGGCTACAGCACGACATGGGGAATAAAGGAGAGGGGGGCGGCAGGACTCTCAGGAGTTAGGGCCCCAGAGCCCCATGGGGCACCCTGAGGGCGTCATCAGCCCCAGTCACCTTGCCTTCCACTGAACCATCTGGAAGCTGGGACAGGCTCATGATCTGAGAGTCCTTGTCAGGCCCGTGAGCCAGCTGCTGTGTCTAAGGCCATCTCAGCCTCAGGGTCTGGGGCAGCAGCGTCTCTGGAAGAAGGCTCGGAGCCGGACTGTGTCAGTGTTTCAGAGAAGATGCCCACAGGCATGATGGCCTCTTGACTGAGGGCCCGGGATGGCTGGGGACTGAACACACACCACCCTGAGTCACACCCTGGCCGGGCAAGGTCTCTGGCCTGTGGCTCTGTGAATCCCAGGGTCCCTTTTTCCCCTATGGTTCAGCTTTCAGAGTGAGTCAGTCTGCTGCCTGTTTTAAAGCACGACAGGCCTCCCTGGGCTAATTCAGAGCGAGCGTAATGAGGGAAGAAAAACGACCAACATTTGGGGAGTGGGCCTGGGAGCCAGGCGAGGAGGTGCTCGGCATCAGTTCTCAGGCCCTTAGCTGAGCACAGTGGCTGTGTAAGGCGAGGGCATCCGATGAACCCGCTGCTGCCTGGACACAGTGGCCCCCCACGCCCCTGTCCTGTCGGCATCTGTGATGGGAGACAAACCCTGATGATGCACAGCCACAGAGGAGCAAAGGCCACCGAGACTTGCCTTGGATGTGAAGCAACAGAGAGATCCTTAGACTGTAGATAAGGCCCGTAGCTGCTCAGTCGCTGTTCGAGGGGCTGGCCAGCCTGGTTTAGCAAGGAGAGACCCCTATCCCCAGAAACCCCTCAGTGCCAGGCAAACCAGACTCTCCCCGAAGGAGTAATCCCCCCCCCCCCCGGGAGACAGTGTGACCCATAAGGAGCCTGGGGAGAGGCGGGCAAAGGTTTCTGCACCTTGATGCAGGGGTGGGAGCCCCAAGCGTGGGCGACTTCTGGGGGCGTCGGGGAAGAACGCTGGAGTTGCGTGCTTCCCAGGTCTTTGCTTACTCCCTTTGCAAACTTTGTTGCCCTCCTCAGAGCTGCGGATTTTGCTGCTGTGCGGCAGCGACCTGCTGGAGTCCTTCTGCATCCCAGGGCTCTGGAACGAGGCAGATGTGAGTAGCGAGGTTACCACGCAGCAGCACATGCCATGCGGTGGGGAGGGGGGAGGGGGGTGCTTGATTCTGGCCTCTGGTCTTCCCTCTTCCCCCAGCCTGAGTCTCCCCTCTCCCTTGAGCTCCCAGAGGGCAATCTCTTCACATCTCTAGGGAAGAAAATTTTCTCACCTGCTGTCAAGCTGGGTCTCCTCCCGATTTTCACAATCCCTCCTCCTCCCGTTTGCTCCAGCAAAGCCCTTGGGGAGAAAGCAATCTGAGTCATAGAACACCCTCTCCAAGTCCTGCTGGGATGCCGGGCACATGTGTCCTCCTGAGGGGCTGCGTGGGAGGTGGGGAGGCAGGGGTTTCAAAAGGCCTTTACCCTCTTGAATGGGGTTTTGTTTTCCTTTGATTCCTTTTGAAGAGGTAGTAAATACCATCCTAGAATTCCCTCACCAGGAGAATGGGGTCAACAGGGCAGACATGAATGGCAAGAGGTCATCAGGATCATTCTGGCAATTGACTGGGAACAGACAAAGCCAGGAAGTTTAACTTAATGTCGTTTAGAAGCTCAGTGGACAGCTTTAGTTGCCAGACCTCACTGGGACGGTCTCCAGCCAGTGAATTCACAAGCTGTCCGTGCTTCACATGTAGGTTCATTCTTGTTCTTCCATGAATTCGTTCACCGGACAGCCAGGGCCGCTGCTCCCGGCCCACAGCCCTGAGCAAGCTGGAGCCCAGAGCCGTCATTCTGGGCCCTTGATCTTTATTACCTTGTGCGTGACTCTGAGAATCACTCAACTATTCCCCAGGCTGTTGTTTTTTTTTCTTTTTAATCTACAAAGTCTGTAGAGTGTTATCTATAGCATTTGGAGATTTAAAAAACATATGCAACACAGTCCTTCCCCCCCACCAAGTGCAAGATGTATACATATGAAATGTTTTCATCAGACTCAAGATTCTAGTTCTAACAGTTCGTGACAAAGTGTGTTCTGAGCATCAGTTTTCCCCACCTCTAAAATGGGCGTCATCATGGTACCTACCTCGCACGACTGGGGCAGAAGTGAATGACATTGTCTAAGCAAAGCGCCTTGCCCAGCACGGGACATACCGTTACATACATCCGATGTTAATACATGACTTTATGAGTGACATGTAGGAGTACACACAGCTACTCCAGGAGAAGGGCACCCACACTACCATGCTGTGGGGTAACTGGAGGGGAGGGAGGGGCGCAGGGAAGCAAATTACACTGTGTGGTCAGTCCTTTCACCTCCAGCCCTCAGTGACTTCTGGCAGGTGGAACCCTACGCCCCCTTTCAGTTCTGGATTAGGTGGCTCAGTGGATGTTTACTTTTCTCTCTACTTCATGAGGTGCGGTGTAAGGAGAAGGGAATGCAGGCAAAGTGCTGTACCAGGTCTCGGCAAAGCTCCTTCAAGAACCCAGGCAAAGCTGGGCGGTTTTCTGGGACCCATCCCTGGGGAGGCTGGGGCAATGCTGGGGGGATTAAGTGGAAGCTAGCAGGAGCAGGGAGCCTCTAGGGGCTCCCCTCGAGGGTAGACCCAGGCTCTGTGGAGCCTGAAACTGTCCCAGTTTGGGGACTGGGAAGCACGGCCAGGCCCTTTGCTCTTCCTGGTTCACCTGCTGATAACAGGTCCCCTAACCTCCTCTGTCCTCGAGTCCTCAGATCCGACTTCCAAAGGCCAGAAGACAGCGCCACAGGCCTCTCCGATTCCAGTCGGCCCCTGGTGCTGGAAGGACGTGCTGGTTAGGGCGGAGAACTTTGAGAAACCAATAGCTGCTGGGAATGTGAGAGGGATTTACTGGGAGGGAGACCTCACCTACGGAACTGTGTTCCCACTTGGCTGACCATCCCAGAGATCTGGGGCACCCAGCATGCCTGCTCCCAGGAGCACAACTGCCCCACGTCTAGGCCACAGCCCAGGCCGCAGGGCTCTGGGGGAAGGAGATCCCCAGAGCCCACTCCGGAGAGCTTTCTAGGGCCCAGAGCTCTACCTCCACCCCCCCAACCTGGCCGATCGCTCAGTCCTCTGATTCCACCTGCACCCAGTCTGTGGGGTCCTTAGAACCATGATGTCAGAAGTAGAGAAAAAAAAAAACATCAAGGAGCCGTTTCCTTATATAATGGGTGTGAATCTCGGCCCACAGCACAGGTGCACCAGAAATGTTACATCAGATTTACTGAGACCACATTAAAATTCAATTGCAAACCTTTATCACACAGGGAAGGTGGGAAGTTAGTCTTAGTCGCTACTGGTGAGCAGAACCTGAGAGGCTCTTTCGCCCTGACAATGAAGATCAACACACGGTGTCCGCACAGACGTCTGTCCTCGGCCTTTGTGGTCCCTCGAAGTTGGCAGCCCCTACTCTGTGCCCACCTGGAGGTGGCTGAGTCTGGAAGCCCAGCGCTGGGCTCCACCCACCTCTGATCACCAGGCCCCATTTTCTTCTGAGTCTTTGCCCCTCGTATGGGGGTGCGGGATGGCGAAACCTCTTCTTTTTATTCCAGCGGTATCCCTGCTATTTTCTGTCTTCTCCTCGGGACATCCGCTGAAATCTCTTCAGTGAATTTAAAGCGACTGACTTCAAAACATTCTGTTTTCTGCCTTGCGAATTAGTCCCATAAAGGGTCTGGTTCTCTGCCAGAAATAGGGTTGGGGTTGGGTGAAAAGGGGGTACAGATGTTACTGGAAAGGGGGCCTGCCTGAGGCCAGTGGTAATGTGTGTGTGTTCTTGGCTTCACTCAGAAAAGATTTAACAACCCGAGTCCAGGTGACTCTGAGGGCACATTTATTCGGCCATGGGACAGTGAGTCACGGAAGAGCCTAAGAGAAGCAACAAGAGGGAGAGTAAGCAGAGCTGCTTTGGCTCACTGAGAAGTCACAGAGAGAGGGGGCCTTGGAGACAGCTTCAGGGGGTGAGCCCAGGACCCTCTGCTGCTGCCCATTGCTCCCCTGGGTGCAAGCCTCATGGGGTCCCTTGGAGTGTAGGAGAGGCACACCTGTCAGGGAAGAAGAGAGGGAAGGGAAAGGTGGGGGCGTGCCCCAGGGAGGGAGAGCGCATCCTGGGTCCTTCGTCTTGAGGGTTTTAAAGGCCAGGCGTTCAGGGGACGTCTTAGGGGAGGATCTCAATAGAATATTCATGAGTTTTCCAGGTGTGCCCTTGCAGGGTCGTGGGCTCCATTGGCTGGTCAGCACCAGGGCAGGGGGTCTAAACAGCAACATGCCAGGGGAGGAAAAACCACGCGGGGAGCAAGGTCCAGCATCAGTTTTTTGCCCATTGCAAGGCACACAGGGCTTCCCACCCTGGTGACCTTCTGTATCTGGCTGTGAATTGCTCGCCCACTGTGGTCAGCTATGTCTCAGTTTCCCCATTCCACTGGCCAAGCAGATTTCCTAGCCTGCTAACCTGCCTCACAGGGAGTAGGACACTAGTTACTAACTCAGTGAATTATTCCACTGCCCTTATTTGGGTAAGGTTGGCTCTCAAGGTCTAGAAAAGGAAAGTCTTTCCAGACAGGGTGTAGGGTGAGCCCTTTATATTCTTCTAGAAGGTTCTACCATCTGAGGCTTACCTGGAAGTGGCCCATTTTAGGAATTTCAGTTCCTAACCATGAGATTGATTGCCAGGGATGAGGTGTATGAGCCCAGCTCCCATCACGGGTTTCATTCATTCATTCTTTCATTCAGCCCTTACCAGAACACATTCCTCTTTATTACCTGGTGTCCCAGGGGATACCCGTTGGCCGAGACCTCTGCTCGGTGGCTGTGAGCCCAAAGCTTTGAGTCTGCCCATGACGGCAAGAGAACAAAGCCTCTTGGAGAGGTCCTGGGCCTGGGCTTTGAATTCCAGTCCCCTGCATCTTCTCCAGAGTTGTCAGCAACAGGAAGGCAAGGAGCCACCAGTTCAGACAGGTCGGAGGAGAACCAGAAACTTTTCTACCTTTCTGGCAAGCAAACTCCAAGGGAACGTGGAGCAGCTTCGTCCCCACCCAGGCGGGGAGGCCGCTGAGACAGCCAGTTCCACAGCAGGACTGCAAAGGCCTTTCTCTGCCACAGTGTCCCTACTGAGTCCATCGTGCTCTCGCTGTGCTTTGGATTCCGAGCCAATGCTCTTTATCCGGAAATGCAGTCACACTACTAAAGGGACAGCCCCACCCCTCCTCAGACACGTTCCCTGGGCATTGCTTGTAGGGCACAAAGGCCCATGAGCCCCTCAGAGAGTTCTGACCCCCTCTGACCAGTGACATGGCCCTGCCCCTGACATTTCATGGGGAGAAAATTCCACACGTGCTCAGTAAGTTTCTCTCCGGAGAATCCAAAAGACCTGCTCATGGGTCCTGGCAGGTGGCATTTTCATTCTTGATTCCTGACAGAAATCAAGATGCCAGATCCCTCCTCTAGCCTTGGAGATAGGACCCAGGCCCTCTAGCCTGTCCCACGTCCAGATGTTCAATTAGAGAACGAGTCTCCCCCCAGAGCCCCAGTCCTTGCTGTCCCCTGCTGCTTCCTGACACCAGCACCAAAGCAGGTCTCCAGGGTCTGCGGAAAACCAAGGCCAAGGGCTAACCAGTCAGCCACGGACAGACTTACGAAGCCGCGAGATTTTACACTCGCCCGCTCCCCGGCCCCAAACAGCACCCGTGGTCCAAGGGCCTCGGGCTGCCAGCTGCCTTGCCCATTGCGTTGTATGGGAGGCCTTCTGGCAAACACATTCTGACTTAAGCATTTTTCCTTCAGTCAGTCCTGTAACTAATACGTACTGAGTGCCCAGTGTGAACATCAGCACATATTTGTCCTGGAGGCCCCTCGCCATCTAAAAATATCTTACATTTTATTGCGCTAGCTCCTCGTAGTCCACGAATGAAAACACGTGAAAAGTTCAGAAGGGTTCCTGAACCCAGTGAGCGCTCAGTAAATGTTGGCTGTTACTCATTCATGGGGTTTAAAGTATTTATCGAGGAGCTGCCCAGCGTCAGGCACTGTTCTAGGCCTGG